GCCTCTTATCTGTGCATATTCGTTTCTGGCTCTACGACTGCTCTCCTTATTCTCCTGGGTCCTTTGCCTTCTATATTTCTTCCATTCCCTAGCACACTTGGTTTTTGCCTCCCTGCACCTTTGGGTAAACCATGGGCTCCTCCTGTTTTTTTCATTATTCCTGTTACCCTTAGGTACAAACCTCTCCTCAGCCTCCTTGCATTTTGTTGCTACATATTCCATCATCTCATTAACTGGCTTCCCTGCCAGTTCTCTGTCCCACTGAACCCCGTTCAGGAAGTTCCTCATTCCTGTGTAGTCCCCTTTCTTGTAGTTTGGCTTCATTCGTCCTGGCCTTCCTGCTTCTCCCTCCACTTGTAGCTCTACTGTGTATTCGAAGCTTAAAACCACATGGTCACTGCCCCAAGGGGTCTTTCATATGTGATGTCCTCGATATCTGCACTACTCAAGGTGAATACTAAGTCCAGTCTTGCTGGTTCATCCTCTCTCTCTCTTGTAGTGTCCCTTACGTGTTGGTACATGAAGTTTTCCAGTATCACCTCCAGCATCTTAGCCCTCCATGTATCTTGGCCCCCATGTGGCTCCAAGTTCTCCCAATCGATCTCCTTGTGGTTAAAGTCACCCATGATCAGGAGCTTTGCCCTGCATGCATGAGCTCTTCTGACCACTGTAGCCAGTGTGTCAACCATCGCTCTATTGCTCTCGTCGTACTCTTGCCTTGGCCTCCTGCTGTTCTGTGGTGGGTTATACATCACTGCTATTACCACCTTGGGACCTCCAGAGTGAAGCGTTCCCGCTATGTGTTTGTGTGTGTGTGTGTGTGTGTGTGTGTGTGTGTGTGTGTGTGAGTGTGTGTGTGTGTGTGTGTGTGTGTGTGTGTGTGTGTGTGCGTGCGTGTGTATGTGTGTTTATGTGTGTATGTTGTGTGTGTGTGTGTGTGTGTATGTGTGTGTGTGTATGTGTGTGTGTGTGTGTGTGTGTGTGTGTGTGTGTGTGTGTGTGTGTGTGTGTGTGTGTGTGTGTGTGTGTGTGTGTGTGTGTGTGTGTGTGTGTGTATGCACACTTTACATGTAGAGGCTGACAGGAACCTCAGACACGCTTGTATGATCCTTCAGAATAGAATTTAAGTCAGCAAAGTATCCTTATGAAATATTAAAAATGCACTTATCATTTGTCAATGTTAAATACATATCAGATTATTTATTGTTTTATAATTAAAATTAAACTTTGCATTCAAATGCAAATGTTTCTCGAAGGTTGTTATGCCTCTTTAAATATACTGCATGGAATATCCCATACATATCAATGCTGATGCATACTGTGTCGTGTGCATTTCTCAGTCTATTTACACTAACTGATCCATATCTCTCAGTTGAAAGACAGGTGTGTATTTCAGTGTATATACAGAACTATGTTTTTATCTGCGTATATACACCGACAGGTGTCTATCTTTCAGTATATCCACAGAACTGTGTTTTCTATGCATTTAAATACCGAGAGGCGTGTATCTTTCAGTATATATACAATAAATGGTATGTATTACTGTCTGTTTGCTGAGGAGAGAGAGAGAGATTACTGTATACCTTATCTGAGGGAATGAAAAGTATATGCTGCCTTAATAACTCCCTCATGTAGTCAACAGGCTCTGAAATTATCAAGCCAACCAACCCACACTTTCTAAAGTCTGGGAACTTTTGCATTTCTCTCTCAGATATTCTAATTTATTACGTAATGGAAGAGCCCAGGCGTGGAGGAAGCTCAACCGTTCCTAAGTACAATGAAAAAAAAAACTGCGAATAAAAATATTTTTCCCTACAATAATAATTTCATGAAACATTTCATATGGAAGATTCTGACATGCTTGTGTTAGTGTATTTTTTTTTTTACTATTTTTTTCCACATTTTTTACACAGTCATTTTTGAACAGTCATTTTTTTTTTCTCTATCATTTTTACACCGTTAATAACACTTGATTTTTCTGGACATGAAATATGCTTCCATCGCAATATATACATATATAAGATACAAACATTTTTATATATGAATGATGTAACTATATAAGGTATATTCGATTTGTAGAGAAGTTTCTGCTATATGTATACACAAGTTCTTATTTTAGGCAGACTGAAGACGGTGAAGGGTTCTTGATGGAAGGAACTGGAGATATTCTGGATTTCCTAGGTCCAACCTGATTCTTTTCCATTCCTAGTTCTGGAGACTAATTCTCAAACTTGTGGCCTCATTCTTAAGCCCGTGGTTTCATCTTACACCAGTGGTATTCTTACACCTGTGGATTCATTCTTACACCTGTGGTTTCATTCTTACACCTGATGCCTCTTTCTTATACCTGTGACCTCATTCTTATACCTGTGGCCTCATTCTTACACCCGTGGTCTCAGTGTTAGACCCGGCTCCTCATTCCTAACCCTGAAGCATCAGAATGATGCCGTGGGCATCATTCCTAGATCCGGAACATCAGTCTTTGACCCCGGACATCATTCTTAGACCTAAAGCATCTTTTTTAAAACTTGAGCGTCATTTAACGGCCCAGGGCATTAAACGTAGACGTTGGGTATTATCATTAAACGTAAACCTGAGGTATCATTCCTGGATTTGTAGCTACAATTACCCTTCGCTTTTATCACAGAAATACTGTCATCAAAATTACGAAAATTAATATTTTTTTTTATTTTTCTTTGTTATCGTCTTGAATGACTTGACGAGAATTTGAAAGATTATTATTGAAATTAACAAAAAGTTTAGATTGCAGGTTATATTGTTCAAAATATGATTGTTTGCATTCCCTTTCACATGGAAGCTAAGGAATATTTTGCGTAGGATGCATCGCCTAAACATGTAATGTTGCAGATTAAATACAACAGCTCATATTATGTTAAATATTTATATGAAATATTAATATGTTAATATTTATATGAAAATTGTCCTGTTTCAAGTTTTGGAAGAATTGGGATTCTTTAACTGGCTTCGAGTACATCAATAAGAATATTTCCCTGTTTATCTTGGCGTTAAAGATAACAGTAACTCTCTGCTGCCAACTGCCCCAAGACTGTAGCAAAATTGAAGTGTAACGAACTCGCTAACTGATTAAGATTATGAGCAACTGCTTATGCGTATGGCTAGACCAAATTTAAACACTATTGTTAGCTGAAGATGATTATGTCTAGTCATTCAAATGGCTTCTAATTTCCCAAAACAGTGGCTAGTCCTGATGCAATATACACTGGATAATCATGATTTTAGTTAGAACTTTGCGAAAGATACTAACAGCTTTAATATTATTGCTTACACATTATAAATGGTATACAATACCGACAAGCTGAAGAGTAAGACACATGTGCAACTTTTAGGTACAATTATTGTCAAATATTTCACCTGCATAGCAGATTTCTTCAGTCAGTTACCACGCTGAACACGGTAGAAGTAGAGAGTCCCTCAGACTTGATAGAAGGAAGTCAGTCCTTTAGACTAAAACAGAGGCATGTGACCAGAGACTTATATACTAGACCAAGATGTAAGGTTTAGTAGCTGGAGATGACGCCAAAGCTGAATGGGACCCACTAGTAGAACTAGGTCATGTTAAATGGATGTTAGGGAGGACATCCCATGTACCAAGATGCCATGGTGCTGCTGTGTCCGACAAGTTATATATTGCTAATGCTATGCAATACTTTCAAATTAAAGAGATGAAGTTGAAGATAATTATTATTAGAGATAACCTAGCGCTAAGTGTGTATGAACCTAACTCTTAAATATTAATAGTTAACTGAGGCACAACTCATGCTAAATGTTCAAAATAATATCTAACTGCTATAACTCATAGTAAATCTTGGTTTAGCTCTCACACTAACAACTTAAGATTAATTGATTATGATATATTACTCTTCTCTGCCACTTTTTTACAGAATACTTTTTTTTAAATTTTAAATTCAATTAAATAAAACTAAAGCATATACCTCCATGGCAACTTTTTTATAAATGGCTATATCTATATTCGATACTTATTCAGAGGACGATATGAAATGTAGGAGATTGGAAGACTGTCCTTGTGGATATTCTGAAGAGTAAATCTCTCCTGACTCACTTTATTAAAAGTATAATAATAATAATAATAATAATAATAATAATAATAATAATAATAATAATAATAATAATAATAATAAAATTATAATAAAATAATAATAAAATAAAAATAATAATAAATAATAATAATAATAATAATAATAATAATAATATTTTTAATTAAAAAATAATAATAATAGGACAATAATAATAAATGTATTAGTAAATGAATGTTAAATATAAAAATGCATTTATTATCCTTAAAAAATTGGTCAGTATTATATTTCATATATTGGTTTCCTAACATTGATTAAAAATTATTTGTGTTTTTATATAGGAGCTTGTTTTATAGTGATATAATGTGTCGTTTTGATATACTTTCATCTGTGAGATTATAGAAGAGGCTATAAAAGATAAAATATGTCATAGTCCCTATATAAGGCGGAATTTCTCAAATAAGAAAGTATAGCTATGTATACAAAATTTATTTTAACTAGATACTAGATGAGGCAGAAATTCTGAAGCACGTGATTACAGAGTTGTTTATGTAAATATAATGTCTCATACTTTGTTACAGACAATTATGTAGGTGAATGTTGAAACTGTAATCCTTAAATTCTTTATCTGAGGTTGAAAATCCGATACAGAAAATTAAGGGGATGAAAAGGGGAGATATATTAGACTTGTTACCAGAAGAAGAAACCTCTGTATTGGTGATGAATATGGAGGACAGAGATGTATTGTGCTGTTGAAATATACTTATTTTCCTAAGTGCTATAGAAGATATCGTGTATTGAAGACATATCGGCTATAGAAAACAAGGTATGGAAATGTGGTTGTTCATAATAATAGGCTGACATAGGCGGAGTCATAAAATATCAGAGAAATGGATAGATGATAAGTCGATGACTAATACTCACTTGCAGAGATAGATAAGATCATTCCCAGGAGAAGAGCGAGCACGACATGACTACTCTTCATACTGGAAATCTGCAGCAAGAGAAACAAAAAACAAGATTCAGAAAAGTGATTCATATTTCCAAGGCATTTTTGAGTGACAAGATTTTTGTTCCATTTGAAAGAAAGTTAAATGAAAATGCCTAGAGCCAAATATTGCCTGGAATATTTTTGAGAAAACTGGAAGATTATTTAAATAAGCTGCATGGAATATGTTTAAGAAACATCTTCCAACAATATTTTAAAAACTGGAATATTATCTGAAATAATCGTCTGGTAGAAAACAAAAAGCTGATGGATATATTAATTACCTTAAAGAATATAAACAAAATTCTGGAATATATCTATAGAAACTTGCTATAAAATGTTTTAAATACTACTTGGGAAATCTTTCTTCATAATATATATAAGGAAATTCTCTATATTATAAAAAGATCAGTTTAGAGAATACCTAAAGAGATCCCCTGGAAGAAATTTAAATGAAATATTTGAAAGGTATATACAGAACTTGTACTTTAGATTCCAGAAAAAAAACTGCCTGGATAATATCTTAAGAAACACTCTTGAAGATTTCAAAAAATGTCTAAAACATCTAGTGAAACGGTTTTGGAAATTCTCGAACAAAAGGCTAGAGATAAAACTCAAGGGGATCATCATTATCAAATTCATAACTTTATAATTATCATTTGTATTGATATTTTCCTATGTAGACAAATAAACGTAAGCAAGAAAACAAAGATTAACGACGGATTCGAATAAAAAAATGCAATGTAAACGGATGTCCATAATGTGTAGAGCATAAAGATATAATACTAGAAGTGTACTGCAGTAGGTGTTACGTTCTAAGACAAATAGGTTTAACCCTTATCTAACCATTCCCAATTATGCATTTCCGTAGTCTGTTTTTAAACTTATATATATATATATATATATATAATATATATATATATATATATATATATATATATATATATATATATATATATATATATATATATATATATATATATATATATATTTATATATACACACACATATATATATATATATATAATATATATATATATATATATATATATGTCGTGCCGAATAGGCAGAACTTGCGATCTTGGCTTAAATAGCAACGCTCATCTTGCCATATAGGACAAGTGAAAAATTGTTTATGCAATAATTTCGTCAAAATCATTCTGAACCTAACGAAAAAAAAATATTTTACAGTGTTTGTTTAGTATTAAATTACTGTAAACAAATCTAAAATATATTTGTTGGTTAGGCTAAAATAAATGCGCTTGTTATAATAAGGTTAGGTAAGTTTTCTAAGTTCCTTTTGGTGCAAAATTATAAATTTTTACATTAACATTAATGAAAAAAATATATCTTTAAACGTAAAAGAGAAAATCTTAGAAAGGACTTAATTTTAAATGATTCTTGCTAATTGACCAGTTTTTACATATTACGCACGACATATATATATATATATATATATATAATATATATATATAATATATATATATATATATATATAATATATATATATAATATATATATAATATATATATATTATTAACACATCGGCGGTTTCCCACCAAGGTAGGGTGGCTCAGAAAATAAAAACTTTCACCATCATTCACTCCATACTGACTTGCCAGAGGTGTGCGTACACTGCAGATATAAATTTGCAACATAAACACCCCTCGTTCAGAGTACAGGCACTGTACTTCCCATCTCCAGAATTCAAGTTCGGGCTACCGGTTTCCCTGAATCCCTTAATAAATATTACCCTAAAAACCATTCTTCTCCATTCGCTCCTATCTAACACGGTCACGCTTGCTTGCTGGAAGTCATAGCCCCGCTCACACTAAACCTCCTTTACCCCCTCCCTCCAAACTTTCCTTCGCCGATCTCTAACCCGTCCTCCCTCCACTACAGATTTATACACTTTCGAAGCCGTTCTGTTTTGCTCCATCCTCTCTACATGTCCGAACTACCTCAACAACCCCTCCTAAGCCCTCTGGATAATAGTTTTGGTAATCCCGCACCTTCTCCTAATTTCCAAGCTACCCTGCACGTAAGTGAATGTTATTTTCCTTCTCATTTTATTGTAAAACAATAGAAAATGACCATTATTCCTTTCAAAATTTGCTTTTGTGGCTTACAGGATGAAATTTTAACAAAAAAAATTGCTAATTTCAATATTTTTTGCTAGTTTTGGAAGTAAAACAAAAACGTATTATAAAATAATTAAAATTTACAAAAATAAAATAAAATTTACACAGATTTCATCTAAACTTTCTGAAACATATTTACAAAGTTAAAAATGAGCAGTTTTCTAGATTTGCGAGCAGCAACAAATCACTTTCCCGTTTAAGTTCCCAAATGTAGTCTCCCATCATTGTTTCATTATAAGATCCTTGATATCTGTGTTCAAAGTCCATTATATCTTGGTGGAAGCGCTCCCCTTGCTCCTCTGAGTATGTTCCCATATTCTCCTTGAAATTGTTAAGGTCCATATCAAGGATATGAACTTAAGGGACATACTACAGCCCAGCTGATCATAGCTTTTTACCAAGGTCTCAACAAGTTCCACATAATTGTCGACTTTGTTGTTGCCCAGAAAGCCCTGTGCTACAGCAACAAAACTCTCCCAAGCTTCTTTTTCCTTCTCTGTGAGTTTCTTTGGAAATTCTGAGCACTCCATGATTTTCCTGACTTGTGGTCCACTGACGATGCCAGGACTTCACCTTTGCCTCTGATAGCTTGGGAAAGAAGCCTTGAAGATACTTGAGGGCTGCAGACTCTTTGTCAAGAGCTATAACAAACTGTTTCATTAGTGCTAGTTTGATGTGTAATAGAGGGAACAGAACCTATAGTAATAATAATATCTTTATTTACTACAAGTACATGTACATGGTATGCAGGCCTAGCTGACATCAGTGATATACTACTTTATAGAAAGCCCCTTGTTATGCTGAGCATTTCGGGCAAATTATGTCAGTTTTGTCCCAGGATGCGACCCACATCAGTCGACTAACACCCAGGTACCCATTTTAAACTGATGGGTGAACAGGGACAGGGACAGCAGGTGTCTTATGGAAACACGTCCCTAATATTTTCCAACCGTACCGGAGGAGAACTCAGTCCTTTGAGGCCAGTGCTTCCTCTGGTAATGTGCTGCACTGTCTCTACTATCCCAGTGACAGAGACAACAGGGAAACTTGGTAGAACCTCCTTGGAGTCCCATCGAAGCTGCCACCATTTTGAAGTCTCTAATAACCTCTCAGTCATAGTTATCATAGTCCAAAGCTTCCAGTAGAAGCTACTGTTGTAGTCCTCTTTATGAGCCAATGGATACTTGTTCCCATTGTACAGAAGTACAGCTTTTAGACTTCTGGAGGAGCTGTCAATGAAGAGTTTCCACTCATGTGATTTGCTTGTAATTCCAATTTCATGAAAGAGGCCTGATACATCATTACAGTAGCACAACCTGTCTTCATTAGTGAAGAAGCTTGAGAAATGTTTGTGATGTTTTCTTCGGTTTGTCACTTGCACAGTTTCATCCACCAAGTCCCGCTCTTTGAGCCTTGAAATCAAGAGCTCAGCATCTGACTTCGTCAAGCCAGGATCTCTGATAAGGTCATTGAGGTCTGTTTGGTTAGTGTAGTAAGGATTCCTCCCAACAGCTGCATCTTTCAAATCATACTCTTGTTCACTGTGCTCTTCATTTCACTGATATGCTGCTTTCTTCTTCTGACTGTTGACTTCTTTCTGGATGTATAGGTACAGGAAGGATCCACCAGGCAGAAGTAGCAGTTGGTTGAGTGATCAGCGGGTTGACGCCATATTCTAGGAACACCAAACTTCATGATTCTTTTTTCTCCTCTATACTATCCTGTAAAAGAACAAAAGAAATAGTTTCTGTTACATAAGTTTCATTTAAAAAATGTTCCTATTCAAGATTTTACCCTTCATATAACTAATGACTTTCTTACTTTCCAATGTTTTCTTACAATGTTCACAAGCAACATGAGGCGCCCAGGTCTTGTCTTGGTCCCCAAATGGCATGCCAAAATATGCTTTGTAAGCTTTGCACATATTTTTAGATGCTGTTACAGAGAACTTCTTTGCTCTTGTCTTAATGAATTGACCACATATGTAGCAGAATGCATCTGGAGAATGATTGCAGCCTCTTGATGCAATTTCACTTCTGATGTATCTTCACAGGTAACCAGAGCTGTACTGAATGCTGGTTTGCGAGCCCCTGTTTTCATATTTGTCAAGTAAAACCCTAGAGCATAATAGTTTTACATCAGTCTTTCTTGAAAATGTTCCAGAAGTGTCCTGACCATAAAAGCAAAATTTTGGGATCAAAATTGCTTATTTAAATTTTGTCTACTTGTAAAGAATTGGGAAATGATGCATATTTCCCAGGAACATACCAAAAGTGAAATTTTGTTACATAGTGTAATCAACTGTCTTTGCAGAGGCTCTCAAACACGACAGCTTAGACGTCCCTCCAAATTTATTCACATTCTGAATAAAAAAATTAGGCCTCTATTATCCCCTGCAGAGCTTTACTTAGTCTAATCTTTATATAGATTTTCCCCATGTATGCAAACATTGTTGTTTATCAGTCATCAGCGCCTCAATCCTTATTACGAGGGAATAGCTTGTACTCCACTTGTCATTAAGAATGTTCTACTCTTGAAATAAAACAAGGTGACGATTATTTGAAATTAGACTTTGTTTATTTTGTTTCATATGCTCAAACAGTTTGTATAAAAGACGAAAATTTAATTTTTACCCTTTATCATTTAGCTTTTAACTACTTCTTTTGTTCTTACAAAACACCTTAAATATTTTTTTAACGGTGAAAAGTCTCATGTCTGCCGTGCACAGTATCACATTATGCTTATCACTTCTATAATATTAAAGTTTCGATAAAACCCAGGAAGTAACCCCTCAAATGAAGAGAAAAATACTGCTATCCCTGCTCAAGGAACATGAATAAATGTTATATTTTCAATAAATAATGA